TGAGCAGATGATGATGATGATGATGATGATGGTGATAACAAGCTGAGCTTCATCACCCTGAAAACACAGTTGCAGTCTCTGTTAATCACCAAAATCTACTCCGCACAGAAACACTCACAGAACATTTAGACGTCTCCAGAGTGGAATTTACCAAGAAAATGTTTCATTTCATACATTTTTAAGCTTGTTTAAAATGAACAAAATAATAAAATTAATTTGAATAAAATTATAAATAAATAATAAATAAACAAATTACATTAAATTAAAAAAATACAATTAAATTACAAATTAAATAAAAACACAAAATACAATAAAACATTAATTTAATTGATAAATAATTTAAAAACTTAAAAAAACATATTTAAAATTAAATAATTTTTAAAAATAAAATAAAAAATTACATCTAAAATGAAATTAAATAAAACAAAGATTATTTGTTTTTTAATTAATTTATATAATTATTACCACATTGGTAATATTCTATTTTATAGAAAAAAAGTGGATATATTATTTTTGAGGCCAGTATTGGGGAGATTTCTGAATTTACACAAAGAAGTAAATAATTAATATTAATACTAATAATTAATTTAACTTTATGTAGCAATGGAATCTCAGAATTTCCCAAGGAAATACATGAATTAAATATATCAGTGCATAAAAACATGAAATTACTTAATACATTTCACAAAAATAATTAGATTCAAGCATTTAATTGTATTATATAATAAATAGATTTAGTGTGTGTGTGTGTGTGTGTGTGTGTGTAAACAATGTGTAACAAATGACATTCTGCATTGCTTTATTTTTTTATGCATAGATTTATTTATGTATTTCCCACAAGCTTAAAATCAGTAATTATTATCACTAATTAAATGTAATATTAATGACTAAAGCTTTTAAGCCAAACTCTGCTTTTTGCTGTATGTATAATAATATATTATCAATCAACAGGTCATGTTTAGGTAGAGAAAAAAATAAAATGACAACAAAACAAAAATGATGCATAAAAACAAATAAATGCATAAAATGTTAACTAATATGGCTTTAATCATATAAAACAGAAGGAATGCATATTATTGAAACTAATACTGCTATAAAATAAAAATAAAAAAACTGCTTTTGCCTTAATAAAAATGTACAAATATAAATGCTTATTAAACTATTTTTCATTATTAAAATTAAAAAACTTAATTCATATTAAACTAATTTTTTAACTAATAATGTCATTTTACAAATAAAAAACACATTAATTAAACATATTTTGCTTTAATAAATATTTTTTAAATGCATATTAAACCAATTATGTTAAGGAAACGCATATTAAACAAATATTTAACAAAATTAATAAAACAGTAATGCATATTAAACTAATTTCACTTTAATAAAATTTAATAATAATCTAACTAATTTAGCTTTAATAACCTGCGTAAAAACCTGTAAAATTTACTGTGAAAAACCAGCAACTGTTGACAGAACTCTCTTTCTGAACTCTACAGTAAACTACCATCTGTCAGTCATTTATAATATTATACAGCAGTATGAAAATCCACACATCATACATGTATTGATTTAAAAGTACCACAGTAAAGTCAACAAAGTCAATAAACAGTCAAGAGTCATGCAGGGAATTGTGGGACAGTCCATGTACAGTTATTAACCCTATATATTGACACATGGTTAACCAGGTCACAGCATTATACTGTAGCATGTTCACAGTATTTTACCGTTGAGTTACTCCTCTTTACAGTGTGTGTGTGGCGCCACTCAGGCTGCAGTGTGTGTGTTTATGTGCATGCGTGGAGTGTTCCATTAATATGGCAGAGGGGTGTGAAATATCGAGGAGGTGTTCAAACTTTCTCCTCAGACCTGCTGTAATGTGCTGGCATATGCTGGACTCATCCATCAGCTGAACAGTAAAGGGGGAGCTTCTGTTTCTGGAGCTCTAAATCACAGCTGGAGCCCGAGCTGACCCCCCAGCAGAGACACGTTCATCAGTCCAGAGCTGAGCCAAACCATTCAGACGTAAATATACAAAAGAAATATACAAATAAATGTGTATATAAATGTGCACACATTGTCTTAGTAGTGTCTTAGTACAAGCCCCAGCCATATGTTCTCCCCGTGTTGGCGTGGGTTTCCTCCGGGTGCTCCGGTTACAGTCCAAACACATGCGCTATAGGGGAACTGATCAACTACACTGACCGTAGTTTATGAGTGTGTGTGTGAATGAGTGTGTATGGGTGTTTACCAGTACTGGGCTGCAGCTGGAAGAGCATCCACAGAGTAAAACATATGCTGGAATAGTTGGTGGTTCATTCCGCTGTGGCGATCCCTGATTTATTAAAGGACTAAGCTGAAGGAGAGTGAGTGAATGTAGCGTAATTATAAAATGTAAATCAACAGTTTCATGTCTCGTGTTTAAACTGCAGAAATAAACGACACAGCTGGATTAAGCTGACACATTTAAGTGGATTAAACAAAACAAGTACAGTGCGTTCACACTGGAAGTGGCAAGAGCGACGACGTAGCGGGAAGGCGTTCATTTTCAATAATAGCCGGCAGCGATAAGCGGCGAGGAGCAGCGCGTGGCTTCTTCACCGGTGTGGGCGTCGAGCAGAGTTCAACTTTATGGTAATGAGCTATCATGCGGCTTGGCGGCGACCAATCAGAATGTAGAAGTCCACCGCCTGAGAGGAGTCCACAGGACAGTCACTGTGAACTTTGGTTCGGTCCACAGTTGTTCCCAAGGGTTTGATCATTGCGGTCGCCGGATTCCCAGTTATTTACGATGTTTTCTTACAGGAACATTACACAAGTTACTGATGTGCAGTAATGTTATGTATGTTTCTTTTTTTAAGCAGGAATCTGGATAGGTTGTTGAAGCTAAAGCGATTCCTTGAAGGAGCAGTATTTGTGCAGATATATAGACGGTTTCTTTAATCCCGCGCACAGTCATGTCCACCAGTGACTTTTATTTGAGGCACTATGTGGGGAATTAAGGTAAATTGGGTCACGATTTTCTGGAATTGAATTCAGACGGAAAGCGGAGATCTGCAAACAACAGCAACAAGAACAACATCATGATCTGAAAAGAGGCTTAGAGGTGTGATGGAGGAGTTGAAGAGGATCATTGACGACACTGAAATCTCTAAACACCATGCCTTGGCCTCCTCCACACAGGAACTGGAGATTGTGATTGGTGATGAGCACATTGCATTCACAACCTCTAAATACGCATCTTTAATTGATGTAAACCAGTCCAAGGACCCAGAAGGACTGAGAGTTTTCCTGGTTACCTGGTTCAGGATCTCAAATGCTTGTTTTCAGTCTCATCGGCCTCCACATCAATATCAAGCCCATCTCTCTGCCCGTTTGCTTTTATTGTGAATTTAGTTATGGTTTGAGCTACTCTCAGCATTTGCAGACTGTTCTGTGGTTAGTTTTGTTGTTTATAAAATGTGTTCGACTGTTAAAAATAAAACAGCGGGAATCTCATGTGACAGTACAACAGTACTGCTGCTTCAGGATTTATCAACACAATCTCACGGCAATCCGTAACGTTTGGATTTAGTGGCTAACTCGTATGAATTCATACAATCTAATACGTACAAATTAGTCTGATTTGCTCATCCCCAATGACGGTTGGGTTTAGGGGTGGGGTTAGGTGCCACGCCTCCTTTTTAAATTTGTACAACTTCGTACGACTGAACTCGTATGAATTAGATACTAAACTGGCAAAACGTAAAATACTTACGATGTCTCGTGAGATCAGGCTGCATATTTCAGACACATGGACACATCGGATAAATAAGTGGAGCAAAGCGACACCACACGGCACACGCAGCTCCATCATCCATTGATAAATGAATTTAATATAAAGAGCGCAACATTTTCAGGCTGGAGAGCATGTTTAATGCAGGAATGTGGCTGATATGCTGCAGCGGCCCCTTTAAATACGAGATCAATGTAGTGAATGTTGACGCTCTCGCTGCTGGAGCTGAAGACAGCGACCTCTGACACTCTCACCGCCTTCAGTGTGAACCAGGCACGTGCACACATAGGGCTCAACCTGTGCAGTGCACATGCCCTTTTTAGTCTTGGATAGAAAATGCCCTTCCAAAATGATCAAAAGTGCCCCCGCGACGCGACACACCCTCGGTCCCGCCCTTCAGTAGGCGCGCGACAACACCACTCTTGAGTATGCGCGCAACAACACAACTGATCAGAACACGTGCAACAACAACCCCAACAACAATGTTTTACAGTGTTCATGCTGGCTTTTATTTCCTCACTGTTTCCCACACATCTGCTGCACCTGTCAATCACAGCACACTGCAATGTGATTGGCTGATGGAGAACACTGCAATATTATTCATGCAAACATTATGCAGACATCAAAACACCTCAACGATGAATTTTTACAATCAAATCATAAATAATGGATCTATTGACGCATTTTAAGTTTCAACTCTTAAAACAAACATTAATTACACTCTGAACTTTTGTCCACATTGACCAACTTTGTGTTGAAATAACCCTCATTTGTTGAGTGTGGTGGATAAATGAATACTTTTAAAGCTACAGAAACACTTCTAATTATACTTGCGTTATTAGTATCACAACTCTAATCAGATGGGAATATTATAAATATTTTGCATAAGCTATACTAGTAAGAATATTTACACCTATTTTTAGCCCATCACTGAATATATGTATTCATTTTTTTATTTTAATTCTAGTAATTTTATTTACTATCATGCAAAGTTGTATATGATGTATGCACTGTACCAAACTCGTGTTTCTAACGGCACTTGCATTGTAAATCAGAAATAAAGTCAGTATTATTTAATTTACTCTTATATTTAACCCTCCCAAAATCATTTCACATACAAAACAGAAAACAAACGCCCACTGCAGTAACGTCACACGCCCCCCGGACCTGTCAATCCCCGATCGCTGCGCTGTGATTGGCCGGCGGGGAAGGCTTTAATCTCGTGCGCTCGTGAACGCGCGGCAGTGTGGAGAGTGCGCGGATGCTGAGAGTGTGTCCGCTCCATTACTCCTGCATTAATAACCTCTGGTGAGAAGACGGATTACTCTGTTTTAATGTACTTTGTCTGTTTATAACACCGGGACGCACTTGTTGGAGATACTTGACGGCTGTTTGAAGATGCGTTTGCAGACCGCGGCACATTCTGGATGTGTTTAGGGTACTGTGTCTGGTTCAGTGTGGGAGAAAAGCCGACAGTTCCAGAGCCGCAGATCCAAAGCCCCGTAGAGCCGCACAACCAGACCCGGCCATGCTGAGCGGACACCTCCTGCACCCGGAGTACCTGCAGCCTCTGCCGGCCGCGCCCGTCAGCCCCATCGAGGTACACAGATGCGCTGTACACTGAGTAAACACTGGATATACACTCACCACAGAGTGCTCGTATCTATAACACGCATAATGTTAAGAGTAGGTCATCTGTAGCCGTAATATAGGCGAAAAGTACGACCATTACAAAAGTGAAATTAATCTTTGAAAAGTTTTGATGCAAATTAAAAAACTACTAAAATAAATAAATAAATAAAATGTAAAAAAATTTCGAGGTAAAGACGCTTTTTACAGTTTCTACTTATAAAGAGGTCACAGATTGAAACATAATAAATGTAATAAATAAAAGTAATATATTTCCATGTAGCCTATTTAAATGTCAAAAACATAATTAAATATGACATTTTCCCACACTTTTTCTGCATATGGTGCCCATGCATACGTGTCACATTTAATGTCATGTATAATATAATATTTTACAGGCTTAAATGCCATGAAATTGGAAATATGCTGTCAAATACTTATACATGATAACACTTTAAATTGGGAATTATTATGCATTTGGCAAATCTATTCAACAATGCTTCACATATATGTGAATATACTGCACTTTCATATGGACTGAATATCTGAATATCTATACTGAATCCATATTCATTAACCTTTATGATGACGATCCAATTATTAAAGTCAATCTTTTGAAAAAATAAGTAAATAAATAAAATATAAATCATTACGCTAATCATTATTTTTCTATTTTTTCATGAACTGGTATATTTAGACTGTAAAAAATTATATGATCAATTAGTCCTGACACGGTTTTAGATCATTGATACTTATTAAACTGAGCTAATCATGTTCTGACTTAATTTTATTATTTACGCAAGCTGATTTAAGTCAGTTTGACAAGATAAGTTTGATGGACTTATTTATTTTATTTATTAGATTTATTTTATTCAGCATAAAAATTTAAGGCAACCAGAATTTATTTCACATTGTAGATGTTATTATTTTTTTCTATGCAATTGAATTTTTTTGTATTTGTGTAAAAATAGTAAGTGCATAATAATTTATAATTAAATACTTCAATAATTATATTAATGTAATGCATTAAAAAAGTCACTATTAGACTATCTTATAATTCTGTAAGATAAAAGTTCCTCAGTGAACATATAAACAACAAATCTGATACACAAAAATTCAATAAAATCAAAAAATTATGTAAATGAACCATCCAAAAAATAAAATATGTGTATTTGCAAAAAAACACTGATTTCTGACAAATTATAAAATGATGGTCATTCATTTCTGTGCAGATTAACTCTTCAAAAACGCACACACACACACACACACACACACACACACGTCTGTCATATTTTGATTTGTTTCTTCAAGACTGACCTATTTTCAACTCTGCAGGTATTGTAGCTATAAACAGAAGGAAATTAATCATCCATGCTGTCGTCTGCAAACACATTTATTGCAGATACAGAAGGATAAAATAAACCTGCTGACGTCTGATTTAAAGTCTCTGCAGTGCTTCAGATTTAAGGTTCTCAAGTCATGCAAAAAAACAAAACAAAATGTAATGCCAAAACACAAATAAAGACAAAAGAAAAGCCTGAAACGCGCTTGATAGACACGGAGTTATTTATTATGCATGAGAGAATATTTACAGAGACACAAAGACGGTTACACAACTCCACTGAGAAAATTATACGAGTCTAGGAAAGAGTTTTACATGCAATATCATTACTAGACTCACATATATCAACATCTTTCCTGAAAATTAATCAGTAAGCTTGTTTATTTACATTTATAGATTTCACATTTAACATGAAAAAGCAATAAATTAATAAGAATGATTTATTGAGACCAATGCACACACTGCGAACATGCCTTTCTAGAGTTTTGTCTTGTTTCTAGTCTATTTTTATATCTCTAAGTCAAAAATATAGTGTTGTTTTCAGAAATAATGAGTCAAAATGAAGAGAGCTTTTCATTAAAACAAGCAAATAAATCTGAAGAGGGGGAAGAAACAATCTAGTTTTCAAATTGAAATAAGATTGTTTGGCAGATAGTACTAAAAAATATGATTCTGGATTCACTCAATTATTTTAAGATAACTGGTTGCAAACAATGTATGAGCTGAATCTAAACCAACCAATTGAATTGAGTGATGTTCAACTTATTTTCTTTGTTTAAACTCAGCCCAGATCAACTGTTAAACACTACTAACCTTACAATAAATGTAGTAAATCCAATGAAGAGCTGTTTTTCCAGCGTTCTTGATTGAGGAATCCTATTTAAACAAGACAAAACCTCTAAGAAAAGCCTGTTCTGCAGTGCACTGGCCAGCACAGCAGCAGTGTGAAATCTCTTATTTAAGCAGCTCTTCTCCACAGCTGGATGCCAAGAAGAGTCCTCTGGCTCTGCTGGCCCAGACCTGCTCTCAGATCGGGAAGTCTGGTCCTCCTTCCCCGGGCAGAGACTGCAGAACCAGCCCCCTGAAGATCTGCCAGATCGGAGCCGAAGACAGATCCAGCTTCCAGCCGTACTGTAAATCCCCGGAGAGCAGAGACTCCAGCGCGGAGAAGAGCGGTGCTCGGGCCGGGAGCGCCATCTGCAGGCCGGACACCCCGCGCTCCGGCACCGGCAGCCCGAGCTCCAGCAGCGGAAGCGGCCGAGCAGAGGCTCCGCGGGCAGGCAGAAGGAGCAGTGATACCCGCCGGAGCTCCAGCCCGGAGAAACCCGACAGCACCGCGGGTCAGTGTCGAGTCAGCAGAGGACGAGATTATAGTCCTCATGTGAAGCTTACATTCCAATATATTACAGTTGAACAGATTCAGGAGTTTCTCACAGTGTTTCCTCTAATGTTTGTTCTTCTGGAGAAAGTCTGATTTGTTTTATTTCGGCTAGAATCAAAGCAGTTTTTAATTTTTTAAACTCATTTAAGGTCAATATTATCAGCAGAACAAACCACTTTTACACAATGACTTGCCTAATTACCCTAACTTTAAGCCTTTACATGTCACTGTAAGCTGAACACAGTGTCTTGAAGAATATCTAGTCTAATATTATTTACTGTCATCATGACAAAGAGAAAATAAATCAGTGATTAGAGATGAGTTATTAACACTGTTATGATTAGAAATGTGTTGGAGAAATCTGCTCCTCCGTTAAACAGAAATTGGGGGGAAAAAATAAACAGGGCCTAATATTTCTGGAGGTGCTATATATATATATATATATATATATATATATATATATATATATATATATATATATATATATATATATATATATATATATATATATATATATATATATATATATACACACAGTGCTCAGCATAATTGACTTATTCCTCCATTTCAGTGAGTATAGTCAGTGTATTTTGGTGCATTTAAACAAAACAGATTTATTAAACAGATATATTTATTCATTTAATAGTTTAGTCACCAAACATACAGAGAAATGGAAAGATAAAACAATTAAATTCAAGCAAAATATGACAACCAACAAAAACCCTTTATTGCTTCTCTTGAATCTTCCTCTTTTGTGAAGGTGTGTTTAATATTTTCTCTGGCATGTAAATGTGGCTGTGCTAGTGTTTGGAGCGTTATCATCGGTTATTGTGTTAGATCAGCTCCAGATTTGGCTTCAGCACTGACTAATCTAATGTATCTGCACACATATAATATTGTAGAGCTTCCTATTAAACATGCGTTTAAAAGAGAGATTTGTGAAGAGTGTACGCATACAAGTCAGAATTATTAGCCCCCCTGACTTATTAGCGCCCTTGTTTATTTTTTTACCCATTTTCTGTTTAACGAAGGGAAGATTGTTTCAGCACATTTCTAATCATAACAGTGTTAATAACTCATCTCTAATAACTGATTTATTTTCTCTTTGTCATGATGACAGTAAATAATATTAGACTAGATATTCTTCAAGACACTAGTGTTCAGCTTACAGTGACATGTAAAGGCTTCACTAGGGTAATTAGGGTAACTAGGCAGGTTAGGGGAATTAGGCAAGTTATTGTATATTGATGGTTTGTTCTGGAGACTATTAATAAACAAATTAGCTCAAAGGGACTAATCATTTTGTCTATAAAATGTTTTTTTAAAAATTTAAACTGCTTTTATTCTAGCCGAAATAAAACAAATCAGACTTTCTCCAGAAGAACAAATATTATCAGACATACTGTGAACATTTCCTCAATCTGCTCAACATTTAACAAAAAAAAGAGAAAAAAAAAAATTCAAAAGGGGGTGAATAATTCTGACTTCAGCTGTCTACGCTGAGCACTGTATATATGCACACACTACTGGTCAAACGTTTGAGCTCAGTGTGATCTGAATGTTTAAAATCAGCTTCTCCTGCTCACCAAGGCTGCGTTTAATCATCAATACAAATAGAAAAACTGAAATGTCTTCAGAGTCACATGATGCTTCAGAAATCACTCTAATATCAATTATTATTATTAATATTAATGAAAGCAGTAATGACTGGAGTAATCGTTTAATTTGAAACTACGTACAATAAGAGCTGTTATTTACCATTTTAATAAATATTTAACAATTTCCTCTTTACATTTAATAAAAACCGCCCTCATGAACAGTAATTTACTTAAAAAAAACATGAAAACAGAATAAACTGACCCCAAAGTTTTGACGG